ACACTTAGACCGAACCCCTCCTTTGTGCCTAAAGACCTAAGGAGTGCGTTCAGGTCGAGGGCTATTCAGTTAGGGGGTTTTAGTCTCCCCCCATGGTGGGGCCAGGGAGGCTAAACTGCACCTCCTCTGCCCGGTGCGTGCGCTAGCATGTTATGTGGAGCGCACGGCTGCCCTTAGACGCACCGAACAGCTGTTCGTGTGCTTCGGGGGCGGGGTGATCGGGAAAGCTCTGTCCAAGAAACGCCTGGCAGGCTGGCTCTGCGAGTGCATTGCACATGCCTACGGACAGGCAGGGAGAGCCTGCCCCACGGGGATTCGTTCGCACTCCACACAGGCTGTAGCTGTGTCAACAGCCTTATTCAACGGTGCGAGTGTGGAGGATATATGCACAGCGGCATCTTGGTCGACGCCAGGACCCTTTATAAGGTTTTATCTCTTGGACATGTCTGGCTCTTTCTCCTCGTCTGTGCTTGCTGGGGCAACACAGGATTTGTAGAGGGGGGGGGGGGGTTGTGGGTCAGTTGGCATCTGACCCTCTCCCCGGACGTGATGCGCCTTCGCCTTTCCTGGGCCCTCTGAGGGTCCCGGGATAGGCAAGGGGCACGCTGGCCCGTTACGGGTAGCCCCCCCACATTTTAGTCCTCTCACACTCTGCACGGGGTCAGTGCTTGAGTGTGAGGCATGGGCGCTGGCGCTCTCCCTGTTATCCTTAGGGATTCAGGAAGGCAGGTGCGTAGTAAGCCCATACAGGGCCGAGGGGGCTCTCCCCATCCGTCTATGGGCGGGGCGGGGTGTGCTCTGTCAGCCACAGCCCGGATTTCTCCTCGGTCACAACCGGGTTAAAGGAGAAGGTGGGGCGGCAGCTGCTGACCAGAAAAGCCGGTCAGGGGCAGTAGGGTGGATTGGTGTTGGACGACAGTGCGCGTATACATCAGGGCTCCACCCACTGTACCCATAGAGTCCAGTAGAGGGCGGAGCCTGTGAGAGATATAACGGGGGGTTACGTATTGTAACCCTAGTTATATAAGCACAGGCGGAGCCCTCTACTCAGGGCACTGTCTGAGGCCTCCTTTTATACGGTGTGATGCGCGCGCATTCAGGTACGCCCGCCCCAGGCCGGCTACGTCTATAGAAGTCTCAGTGGGAGAATGCACGCAGGATAAGGTAGTACCCATAGAGTCCAGTAGAGGGCTCCGCCTGTGCTTATATAACTAGGGTTACAATACGTAACCCCCCGTTTTGTTAACATCAATGCTTTTTTCTCTTTTCTTGTGTTACTACGATACTTTTAGATACACTTTGATGTATGCAACACTTAACAACTGGTAGAATATGAAGTACTTTCTAAGGAATTGGGTTTCTTTTAATGGCTGTTTTTTATCTTAAAGGGCCCATGTCATGCTTTTCCGGTTATTACCCGTCCCCTTGTGTGTTATGAAGGTTTTTATGCATGTAAACGGTGTGCAGAGTCACAAACCCTCAAAGTACACCCTGTAGCGAGTAAAACTCTAACACAGAAAATACCTCCCCAAAACGCCTCGTTGGAGATACGTCATTGTCCATTTGATTCTTCCATTTCGTTCCAGGTACGGCATGATGTCAAGCCGTACCCGGAACGAAATGGACCAATCCGTGGAGCCGTTACGTTAAGCCCCCGCTGATTGGTCCAAATTGACCAATCCACGGAGTTCCTCACACACACATCTGTGTGCAGGGAGCAGGCAACTCAGCTGATTTCTCCTCCTGATAACAGACAGTTGGGATTGCGGTGAAATTCTCTCTGCAGACCCATTCTCACAGCGTTTATCAACCTTTTTCTTACTCAATATCAAGCCACACTTACTGTTTTTACTTCGGCTGTGACTTTGTGTGTGCTCAAGATGAGTTTGGCTGTGTATCGCTAACAAGGAAACAACGCCTCCACGGAGCTCAGCGCAATTCACAACGTCCCGACCAATCAGAGCACACTGTGCTCACAGGGAGGGTGGGGGCTGGAGCTATTGGAGCTACAACAAGCCGTTAAAGGCAGAGAGTGAAATTCAGTGAATACACGTAGTTTACAGAGATGCTGTATGAGAAACCAATGTGAGTTTGAAAAATTACACAATATAAATCTATTCTAGTATACCTCAACAATGGAATTATGATCAGTGGAAATGGCCATGACATGGGCCCTTTAACACTTGTTCAGTTAAACAATGTAGGTTTTTTTCTGATAACCTTACATATTTTAGTTATTTTTTCTGCTACCAAGATACTTTTTTGTTACACTTTTATGTAGGAACATTTTCCAACTGGTAGAACAAAAAACACACTATTCCTTCCGAACGAGCTCCTCAAAGAGCTTGAGGAATTTGGCGGAGGCTTCCTCCGCGGCTGCCTGCTGGCGGTTGAAGCGGTCCTCCTCCTTGACCGCCTCTGCCTCCAGGAACTGTAGTAAAACGCTTTTTCTTCTTTTGCGGGGAGGGGGACCGGCAGAGGTAGATGGCTCAACACAGTCCTGGCTGTCTGAGCCAGACTCTGTGGCCTCCTCATCCTCCACTGTGGCCTGGCTCTGGACAGCCTCAGTGGATGTTGAGCCACTGCCAGAAGCCACAGCAGCCGTGGCGGAGTCCATCAGGGTGGGAGGGTCGATCGATGGCCTCCCACCGATGGCCTCATGCATGGCCGTAAAATACTGCTGTGGCCTCTCCCCTGTCAGTCCCTGACCCGGTTGGGGGGCATCTCAACTCCTACAAAAACGAGAGGTAAAGTTATACAAAAGCAGCTATGTGGAGCAGACACAACCATGGTTTCACAGACACACATGAGTAAACGAAAGAATGATAACACATTACCTTGTATTTCCGTTTCAGGTTATCCCACTTTTTCCCGATCTGCGTGGGGGTTACAGCACCGCACAAGCCAAGGGCCTTTAGAATTTCCCTGTGTGATACAAGACATGTTTCAAGCTGGTCAGCAATTAATAAGGTCTGCAGCAACAGGTGTCATCTATCAAAGCTATTGATATTTAAACTCACAGGTTCAGCAGACAATATTAAAATACCAATTGTAACCACCAATATGTAAATGCTGATGTTCCCAATCCAGGAAAATGTCACTCACTCCCAGGCTTTCTTGGCAGTGTGCCTTCGGCCAGTAAAAAGGTTGTCGTTTTCGACCCTCACTTTAATGAGGGTCAGAGTGTCTTGCTCTGTCCCTGTGAAAAGACAAAGAAAAAGTTGTAGCTTAAAACTGTTGGAAGACTTTCTAGTTTTCTAGTGTATATATAACAACATAGCCCAAACCAAATGATAGTGCTGAATGCTAAACAAAGTTCTGGTTGATGTAATACTCTTACAAAAAAAATAAACGTTTGCACTTTTACACATCATGGCATGCTGTAGGAGGATTGGGTGTAGTTAAAATGTGGATGACAACATAAAGAATATCAGGTGAAATGTCAATAAGGAATGCGGTTAGAGGGCTCTAACTGCATACAGACGGGCTGAGTTGGATCGCGCATTTCACTTCTTAAATAACTTATACAACGAATCATTATCAACACTTACATTTATGCATTGCTCCCGCCATGGTTTTGAAATGATTCCAGCGGTGTGTCACGCCCGTGGAGGACCCATCAGTGTATCCTCGGTTATAGCTCCTCCAGAGAGCCTCCTCGATGTGCATTTAGAGAAATGAGATGTCCTTCAACATGGCGCGCTAAAATTCATTTCCGGGTCACTACCGGAGGACCGAGGAGGGGGATTTGATGAAATGAGAACGGCCCAGTGTCTCCCATTGTCTCCCCACACACACATACACCAAACACATGCAAACACACAAAAAGAAACAACACACACTATACTGTGACTCTAAAAGGCTAGTTTGTGTGACCTTTTATTTATGTTTTTATGATATTCCGATATACCATACTATTATTAGAGCCACATTTAAAGTGGACCTATCATGCTATATTTAAATGATATATTGTAGGGCCATACCTATATAAGGTATATTTATACGTTTCTGTTTTCAAAATACCAAACAGATCATGCATTTTAGCCATGCCTCATTTCGCTCTATGTGCTGTTTGCTGTCTACGGGGCTGATTCTGTGAGCTGCAGCTGACCACGCCCCCCTGCAGGGGGGGGAGCAGTGCTCTGATCAAGTCAAGAGGGGGAGAAAAAAAGATCTCCGTCCTCCGTGTTTTATTATATTATTATAGGCCTATAGAGTCGTTATTCATTTGTTTTAAAGCTCAATAAATAACAAAGAAGACCTTTGACCGGCATTTTTCTAATTTTGTCCGGAAGATTTAAACTTTAACGGACATCTTGACCGGCGAAAGAAACTGAAACTCTGCCGCACGGTCCCCTCGTTCCTTGGAAGAGGCGGAGAGGTGGGTGTTTGTCATCTGCTGGTGGACTAACCGGAGAGAATTACAGTGCTTGCCTCGACGGGGAGGGATTGCATTGAATTAAAGCAGCGGGAGCAAACGCTTGCCTCGGGGAGGGAGAAAAAAAGCCACAGCGGAGAATAAACAGAAGGGTAACCATGGGCGGGAAGTCTTCTTCGCTGCTTTTGTGGCAGACTACAGCGCCACTTACAGGCCTGGCATATGTACTACAGCGTCTCCAGCGCTTTTGAGCGGCAATGGCCGGCCGTGGCCCAACCCCACATTCCCCTGATAGGTGGAGAGTTGGCCCAATAGCCGTAGCGCCACTTCTGTGACGTCAGTGAAGTGTTCAAATCTGGATCAGTTTTGATCAGATCCGTTGCAGCCCCTTTTTTAGAGATTTGGTTATGGAGGAAAATAGAGAGGGTTGTGTTTTCTGACACTTGGTGAGTTCCCTGGAACACCGGGGACACATATTCATGTATAAAAGACGTGCAAAAGTGCATTTTGCATGATAGGTCCCCTTTAACTTAAATCACCAATCTCCATAAGAGTTAGCCTCTATTATTAACTCAACCTCATTTAAAGCTATTGCTTTCAAGCTTTTTAACTTAAATACGCTATGCAAGGTTGGCTAAATACTGAAAGGTAAGGTGTGAATATTAAACACCCCAGAAATAAAAGCTAGGTCAGAGCTAACGTAATTATCAGACCCTAATGTTATATGTTGTTAGAAAACGCTTGTGACCACCAGAACATAAAAACTAAACATTTTGGTCACTGTCAGTCATCAGTTCCAAGCTTCAAGTAGTTCGATATGTCCAGACATATCCAAGATGCCCGACCGCAAATACTTAAAGAAAATAAGCCATGATACCTGGATATAACATACTAGTACTTTTTGTTTTTGTTGTTGATACATTCGAAAATATTATAATGACTATTTGACATATACCAGGGTTATGCGATTGGCGGAGGTAATATATACTGGCCCTTTGAGTAGAATGTTAAAAAGTAAGCTAGTTCCTGACTGTAGTGCCCACTCCTTAGGTTGGCTTCACTTAGGTTAAATTACTTTAGTTACAAATAGTGAAGTTCTAGATATAGTTCAAATGGAGTAATTTAAGTTGTCTGATGCACTTTATAGTTTGACTCTTTTTTTTTTAAATACTGATGTGTTTATTCAAAACCATACATGTAATGCACACAAGTCTGTTTTTTTTGTTTGCACTGGTGTGTGCACTTAAATTGATGTTGATGGTTAAATGAGTTAATGGTTCACATGTACAGAGTTATGAATGTCATCTAAATGTAGGAATGCCTTGGGCATATGGTTCCCTGATTTTTGTGTCATGCTTTTACAACATACAATATAAGCACTCCTATGTTGTTGTAGTACATTACTTTATCTGTAGCTATTAACATGATTGCTCATATTTTTAGGCATATTTTTCTTGAGCCCTTATTTTGGATCACTTCATAAACTGCCCCTCTTCAAAAACTATTAAATAGCCCTGCTATATACTATGGCCATTCATTTCTTATTTAGAAATATGGTTTAAATGGAGTAATTTGAATTGTCTGATACACTTGATACAATTTTACTTTTTAAAATACTGATGTGTTTATTCAAAACTATTTCAAAACACAATGTCATGACTTTTTCAAGATCTTTTAGACAAACTATGACTTTCTTTAACCTCTTAAGCCCTGAGCCTGTTTTTCAGGTCTCAGGCTCGAAAATGACATTCCCAGAACAAATGACCATATCTTCCCTTCTAAAAGGGTTAAATTAATAATCTTTATTCTCAAAGTAATGATAAACCTGTGAGTTGGATGTAGAAAAGTCAAAATCAATATAGATGTTTTTTATTTTAAAGAAAATTCAGATTTTACATAGTAAAAAACTGTAAATTATAGTGTCCGTCCAAAAATTATTTTTTACTTATAGTGAAAACTACCCTTGGATGATGGGTTAGTAGACTAAAAGCTTTAGGAATCCAAAGTACAACATATAATAAGTACCCTGTATCAAGATTGATGCAAAACAAGTGAAATTTGACCTTTTTAGAGAGATTTAGCCAAAAAACCCCACTTCTGGGGTCATTTGGGTGGATTTGACCTATCTCTGGCCCCTCTTGCTCGATTTTGATGAATGAAATCTCTTTATAACCGCTAGAGCCAATGGAATCGAGGGAAAGTTATATACACACCAAAACGTTAACAAATAAGGAGTGAGAGTGACGCGTTACCAAAACCGGAAGCTGCATACACTCTGGTGGCTACCATTAGCAGCTAACTTTTCCGCTCCGATTTTTACATAAAAAATGGAATTATGGATTATAAATAATTTTTTAAAAGGCTCAGGTACATTATCAACCTATGGATCAACAGTTGTAGAATTTTTTTTTTTCGTTTTAATGCCATTGAACACGTCTTTTGACCTAATTGACAGCTACGGTGAGACGATCTGCCGTAAAAGCTCCGTAAAGGTACGTGTTGTGATGTCTGTGTTTGCTTCCCCTGTCGCAAGTTCGGATCGCTCAGTGATGATACTATACCTAAATAATCAGTGGAGTATCAGCTTTAATAGGCTATATTGTATGTGCAGCTACGATAAGTAATAAGGGTATCTTTATCTTGAATTGTGTGCCGCAGTGCGTTAGAATTTTTTCGCTCAGGGGTCATTTAGACCCTTATGAGACTTGTGTTTTGTTTTGGTAAAAATGGTTCATATCTTCAGTTAGCTGAGATTCTTCCCGTTAATCTGGTGCTACACATTAATAGTTTCATAAATGTTAAGAAGCCCTGAGACATTATCTCGAAAACAAAACGGTGGGAGGGGTCCAATGGGGGGACCGCCGTGCTTAAGAGGTTAATATTTTTTGAAATCCTATACTGACAATGCAGACAAAACTATATAATATAATTCTTAACTACATACTATACTAGTACTTTTAAAATAAATGTTCGGACATTCTACACTGTGACTCTTCTTAAATTATATATATGAAATACTATACTATGACTGATTTGTTCAACATACTGGTGTATACAATAACCTTTTTCATATTTTGACTTCCTTCATGACATTTTCATAATATTCTATTCTTTTACCTCTTTTTCTCTATATTTTCCACACACTATGACCGTTTGGACTCTATGCTATTTACTATTTATCTTTGACTATGTCTTTTATTGAGATATTTTCGACATACTGTTAAACACATTTTATAGTTATGAGTTTTTTTTTGTTTGTTTGGTTTTTTTCATGGTATTTTCGAACATAACATACAATGACTTTTTTCTTTTTCTTCTTAACCTGTTTAGCCCTGAGCCTGTTTTTCAGGTCTCAGGCTCGAAAATGACATTCCCAGAACAAATGACCATATCTTCCCTTCTAAAAGGGTTAAATTAATAATCTTTTTTCTCAAAGTAATGATAAACCTGTGAGTTGGATGTAGAAAAGTCAGAACAATATAGATGTTTTTTATTTTAAAGAAAATTCAGATTGAACATAGTAAAAAACTGTAAATTATAGTGTCCGTCCAAATATTTTTTACTTATAGTGAAAACTACCCTTGGATGATGGTAAGGTAGACTAAAAGCTTTAGGAATCCAAAGTACAACATATAATAAGTACCCTGTATCGAGATTGATGCAAAACAAGTGACATTTGACCTTTTTAGAGAGGTTTAGCAAAAGAAACTCCACCTCTGAGGTGATTTGGGTGGAAATGGGGGTTTTACCGTTACTCTGGAACTCATTGGTCGATTTTGGTGATTGACATCTCTTTCTGACCGTTAGAGCCAATAGAATCGAAGGGGAATCTCCCCTCTCACACACATGGTACAAAAAAAAGGTGGGGGCTTCGCACATGCAGTTTTGCATCAGAGCTAACCTATACTCTAGCTCTGACATCTGGAAACGGAAAAGCAGGTTTATTGCTCATGGATTATCAGAAATCATTTCAAAGGGACACAGACACATTGGATTAACCTATGGATTAACTTCAGCAGCGTTTTTAACGTTTTAATGCCATTGAAGACCACTTTTGACCAGACTACGACACAGGGTAAGCCATGTTAGCGTTTTTAGCTACCTAGCGCCACATGTTTTGATGTCTGTTTTTGTTTATAAAGTCGCGAGTTCGTATCATTGAGTGATAATGTATGTACCCATCGATTCTGTGTCACCTCACGATGTGAAACGATGTGTTGGATGTGCAGAAAAGATAAATAATAAGGTTTTGTGAGTGAATTTCGGTGCAGTAATCTGTTAGCATTTTTCGCTCGTTGCTAATACAGAGGCTCAGCGTTAGCATTGTGGTTTTTTTTTTTGAAAAAAATATAAAAAGGATCAGTTAGATGAGTTTTTTCCCGTTACATGGATATAAAACACTCTCTCTCGGGCTTAACAGGTTAAAGAATATTTTTGGGTCAGATTAGACTTTAAAGGATAATGACAGTGTTAAAGGGGGAGACACGTGTAAAGGTAGCAGGCTGGATTTTAAACTGTGTCCATTGTAGCAGCAAATGTTTCAACATACCTTACATTTTTCATAAGTTCTTTTAAATTATTTTTTATTAGAAATATATTTTTACTGTTTTCTTGATGTTTTTTTATTTTTCGGCGTACGAGATTGTATTTTTTCCACATCTTATTTTATCACACTTTTTTTCATATTTTCAACATACTTTTATTTTGTCTTTTATTTCATATATAAATATATTTATATTATTTTTTTGGACATAATATATAATGAATCATTTCATTTCTTTTTCTTTTTTTATGCTATACCATGACTTTTTTTGGTATCCTATTTTTCTATACAATAATTCATTTCGACATAGTATATTAAAACATTTTAAAAACACATTATGTACATACTAAACATATATCACTTTATTTCATTATTTTTCAACATGCATGAAGGTGGCACACCTTAACCAAGTCAACCAACAATAGCTTGTGGCAAAGCCAGGGGTGACAGCTAGTGATGTGACGAGCCGAGGCTTCGGAACACGGTTTGAGTTATCCAGGAAGTTTCTGGTGAAGCGCGTATCGAGGCTTGTATCATTTTAGGCCAGTGACTGCTTCAGATAGTGGTTCAGAGGGTTCAGATGTGTTAAACCACTGACACTTCACAGTTGTATTACACTCATATGGCCCCTCCTGTTACCGGACCCGGTCAAGAGGACTCAGACCCACCCTCTGAAGATTGTTTGTTTGCACCTATATAACTTGCTGATGTTTGTACTGTGTGCTTTCGGTGTGTCCCATCCCTTAGTTTGGTTTCTAAACCTGCTTACTTTTCCTAGTTTTCAATAAATGTTCTGCACAAAATTGCACATCCCCATTGAAGCAACAAGTTTTTTAAAACAAAATGATATGTTTTTTTCCTTCAAATAAAATAAGTTTCCTCCTTACCGTTATCCTCTGTCATGTTTCGGGTCTGTACGAAATCGATTCTTCCTCTGTCTGTCTGCTAGAGTTTTACCTGCAATCTCTGAAAGATAACAACCGTTTTTGTTTTTCAAAAAAATCAAGCTATCATCTAGATCAGTGGTTCTCAACTGGTCAGGCCTCGGGACCCACTTTTTACTTGGTCAATACATCGCGACCCAACATTTTGAAGCACTCAAATCTATTCAACAAAAAATCGTGCTGTAATATATATATATATACACTTTTGAGCATACAATATTAAAGCTCCCATGTCATGCTTTTCCGGTTATTACCCGTCCCCTTGTGTGTTATGAAGGTTTTTATGCATGTAAACGGTGTGCAGAGTCAAAACCCTCAAAGTACACCCTGTAGCGAGTAAAACTCTAACACAGAAAATACCTCCCCAAAACGCCTCGTTGGAGATACGTCACTGCCCATTTGATTCTTCCGGGTACCGCCTGATGTCATGCGGTACCCGGAACGAAATGGACCAATCCCGAAGAGCTATGGCCACACCAGCAGCGGCGTGTTCCTCCTCCAGAGGTTCGAAGAACCGGCATTTCACAGACGAAAGCTTCCAAAACATTGCCCAGTTTGAGGCCGGATATGCACAGCTTGTTTGGACCGTTTGGAGCAGGGGAAGATCTGGGTATACAACCTGTAAGTTTGCATTGTTATTTGTGTATTTATCAAACAAGACTGTTTAAATGTGTAAACTGTGTTGGACTGCTAAGCCATTGACACAGTGCTAACTGTGCTAACTAAGTTGCTAGTGTTTCCATATATCAACTCTAATATCAGCAGATGGCCTTGCATACATGTATCTCATAGCAGGAGAATGTCTGCATTCACACACAAAATACCTATTGACAGTATACTCCGGGTGATTTGCCGTGCGGTCAGTCGCGAAACGTAATTACATTATAGCTGGCGTAGCGTGTATGCAACCGATCTAACACACGGAGCTAGAGCTAGTTTTGGTCGGAAAAACATTTTTGTGATGCTACGTTGCTAGCGTTTAAATATATCAACTACAATGTCAGCAGATGGCCTTACATGTTTGTCATGGCAGGAGAATGTCTGCAGTCACACACACGGAATACTCATACAGTATACTCCGGGTGATTTACCGTACATTGTGACAGTACATATACTGCATGTAGCTAACGAGGCTAGCTGTATGCTAGCGCAAAACAATGTATTCATGCAAGTTACATTGTATGGTAGCAGAATACCCGTATACGATTGCAATTATAAACACGTTATTGCTAGCCTAATATGAACCACTAGCTTTTGTTCATAGTAGTTTTATTACACTGCATTATAGTTGCCTTTCCTCCAAGCTAACGTTCATATCGTGTTAGCTACCAAGGTAAACAAAGCTAGGTTAGCATATTAGCAGGCAAGCTGTTCATTACACAACTACTACTAACGAATCTAAAACAACTAAGTTTCTCTAATATTTTGTGATTTGCATTTGATTTCGTCCAGCCAGATCCTGGCGGACAATCCATGACGGGGACGGGACTTCTACTACTACTGAGGCCTCGTGCTAAAAGGCACCGCACCGGCTGTGCGCAGGCAAGATGCGAGGAGGAATGGATGATATACCGTGTGTATATATGTATATTTATGTTCATTTTGTACATTTCTAAAAATAAAGTTTAATGGAAATACTTAGTAGGCCTATCCTTTCTTCCCTGAATTCATATATAGCAAACCATGATTTGATTTCTCATCAAACAGTAGTAGTTTATAACGGGTAAAAATAACTTACTCTTTGTTATGAGCGGCTCGTAGGCCACAACGGAAAGACAAGGAGACATACACGAGTTTACAAAACCACGGCACATTTATTGTGGTAAATGCAGAGATAGGTGGTTGAGAGGATCGCAGAGTTAGTCTTCCTGCAGCCGCTTTGGAGAGAGACAGGGGCCGTCGTGTGACTCCGGGCTCGGCTCCGGAGGTGTCCGTGATCGTGCTGATTAGCCTCTTCAGCTCCACCCCATCGTAAGACAAAGGCCCTGGGGCCGTCACACTCTTCTATAACAACAGTTAAAAATATATATGTATATAAAATATACGGCTGTACCGACGCCATGATAAGACTGATGTTCCGCTGAGAGCAGCCGGGAAAAGCACTGTTAGACATGGGCGCAGCCTCTCTGGTGGTTGACTAATCGGAACAGAGTGGCCGAGCTGACCAATCGGAGCACACTAGGCTCACAGGGAGGGGGGGGGCAAGAGCTCCAACGAGTCGTTTAGTGGAGAAAGTGAATACTGCTGAATACACATGCTTGACAGAGATGCTGTATGCGAAACCAAATGTGAGTTTGGAAAATTGCACAGTATAAATCTATTTTAGTATACCTCAACAATGTAATTATGATCAGTGGAAATGGCCATGACATGGGCCCTTTAATAAAAGTGAAGTACAGTGCATATATCCCTTATATCCCTTCACAGAACTAAAGTATGCTTTTAAAAAAGGTTTAATGAGATGATGGAATCAAAGCTGAACTATATAAAAAGGCACACATGCTGAAACCCAACCCCAGCAGGGGGGTCTGGGGGGATTCTCCCCCAGGAGATTTTTAGAAATACTAACATAAACTACGCATTCTGGTACACTCTGAGAAGAAAATCGGGCCTTCAAAATAAGTTTGACTTTTTCCCCCAAAAAAAAAAAAAAAAAAAATCCAATTTTCTTTTTCCAACTTTTTTTTCTTCACTCACACATCCGCGACCCACTCGAAACGGGTCCGCGACCCACCAGTTGAGAACCACTGATCTAGATCTCACACTAGGGATAAGAATAATTGACAGAGGAGTGTAAAAATACCCATAATTATTGAGATAACAGGGTGTTTTTTTGTTGTATCCATCCTTAGACCTCAAGGTTGATCAAACACTCTTACACAAGAGTAGGGCTTGTTTTCAAGTTTAACTTAGAAAATATATGACTTTACAAATACCTAGGGCTATAGGAAACATTTTTCCTATCAATAAAAAACTGATAAGAATCTGTAGCAATGAAGTGTAAAGGGAAGGTTTCCCTTAAACTCTTTTTTTTGTTTTGTACGATGGGCTCTGTGGCCAAAAGGCGGTACTACAACCTCCATATCGGGTCATGACGTGACCCATTAGCATTTAGCATAGCCTTAGCATTTATTTTTTGGGGAGTATTTTCGTCGGTATTAGCATTGCTGTGTTTCTGCTTGTATTCCCAGCATTAGTATTATTGTGAGACTGACAATTGAGCGGCCCGACCAAGCAAGGAGGCAGAGGCAGAACGTCCAAAAATATAACCCGGTGTGGGCATTTATTACATCAGACACATGATTCACAGCCTCAATCCTGCTGAACATGTGCACACCGTCACCAACCACAGGGATTTCACACCACCAGCACCCAAACAGACAGGGAAAACAGAGCCTAAATACACACACACACTAATCAGCAATTAGACACAGGTGGGGGGGGAGGAGACAACACAGGGCACCAGGTGCACACAACCAACAGCAACAGACATGGGGGAAGGGGAACACTTTTCAACATAAAACCAGCAAACAGAGACAGACAAACTAAAACACAGACAGATGCACACACTACATACATTTCGCCACCAACAAAACTACACAATTCGTAACGGAGGCCGAGATCTATGGCCCCAAAGATCACCTCTGTTACATTTCCTCACCCCTCTCCCCTGGAAGCACAGTGTCTTGGAAATCTTGTGCAGCATTGTTTCCTCAGGGGGGGCGTGAAGTCAGAAGGAAGCTTCCCTTTCTTTCTCTTCGGGATCTGATTCTTCCTCTCCATGCGCTCCTGCTGGTTCTGCTGTCTGACGCGCTCTCTCCTGACGGATCTTCTCGGCCATTTTCACCCGCTCCTCCTCAGCGAGAAGAGCATATTCCTCATCTTTAATTTCCTTCTCCTCTGCCAGGAGAGAGAGCCGTGACTGCGGCCTCTCTAACTGCAGCGGTCCCCGAAGAGGAGAAGATGGAGATCCGGCTGAAGGAGGCCAAACACATTGCAGAAGAAGCTGACCGCAAATACGAGGAGGTGGCACGTAAGCTTGTGATCATTGAGAGTGACTTGGAACGTACAGAGGTGCGCGCTGAGATGTCTGAAGGAAAATGCTCTGAGCTCGACGTGGAGCTGAGAACCGTACAGGACGACCTGAAGTCTCTGGGGGCCCAGGCAGAAAAGTACTCGCAGAAGGACAAGTACGAGGAGGAGATCAAGATTCTCACAGACAAGGTGAAGGAGGCTGAGACTCGTGCTGAGTTCGCTGAGGGATCAGACGTGCCGCATCTCCAAGAGTGTGTGTCTGCGTTCAGCCTGCAAAGAGCCGAGCAGACCGATCCGACCTGCGGAATGAGCCGCCCTTGCGGAGAAGAGCACCACACTTCCGTAGAGATCCCAAGTTAATGCCACTCACTCCTGAAGATGATATTGAGCACTTTATGACAACGTTTGAAAGAATGGCCACTGTCTGCCTATGGCCGAAAGAAGATTGGGCTATTCGGCTTGTGCCACTGCTCACAGGTAAAGCACGCAGTGCCTTTGTTTTCATGGACATCACAGACTCAGTAGAATATGAAAAAGTAAAAGAAGCTATTTTGGCTAAATATCAGATCACAGCTGATACCTACAGAAGAAGGTTTCGGTCATTGGAAATATATCGGGGGGAAACTCCACGTGAACTCTATGTACGGTTAAAAGACATTTTTTACAAATGGGTCAAACCAGGGCGATCCGAGGTTAAAAGGATATCTGAGTTGATGATACTGGAGCAGTTCTTGAGAATGGTGGACCCGGAGCTAGAGGTCTGGATCCGAGAGAGAGACCCGCAGTCTGCTGAGGACGCCGCCAGACTAACAGAGGTTTTCCTGTCCGCCAGAACCGGGACTAGAAGAACCACCTTCGGCCGTGAGGCATACGCAATAAGTCCGATGGGGGTGAATGGGGTGGTCAAAATGAGATTAGGCCTCGGAATAATCAGTCATCTTTCACTAGACCTAGCCCTAGCTCGAAGTCGTTTCCCAGCGCAGACACATGCTGCTATCAGTGTAACGGTTTAGGTCACACTCAGCATACTTGCCCAACAACCAGACAGAGCAAGCCAGCCCTGTTGTGTGTAGTTCCCAGACCCACCCACCCACCCTGCCTCTGGTAATGCTGATGCGCTCACTGCCCCAGTGTTAGTAAATGGTCGGCGGGAAGAGGCACTCTTAGACTCTGGTAGCTTTCAGACGGTGGTTTTGGCTAGCATATATGCTTATATGTGTGCCTGTGATTATTTTACCGTCCTGTACAGATGAGACTTTGTAATCAGATGTATGTATATGTGTGTCTGTGATTTTATACTGAATGTAAAGTAACTGGAAGTGTGTGTGATCAGATGTATGTATATGTGTGTCTGTGATTTTATACTGAATGTAAAGTAACTGGAAGTGTGTGTGTGTGTGTGTGTGTGTGTGTGTGTGTGTGTGTGTGTGTGTGTGTGTGTGTGTGTGTGTGTGTGTGTGTGTGTGTGTGTGTGTGTGTGTGTGTGTGTGTGTGTGTGTGTGTGTGTGTGTGTGTGTGTGTGTGTGTGTGTGTGTGTGTGTGTGTGTGTGTGTGTGTGTGTGTGTGTGTGTGTGTGTGTGTGTGTGTGTGTGTGTGTGTGTGTGTGTGTGTGTGTGAAAAAAAATATATACAATTTGAAAAACTGGTCAAATAATGGAAATAAATGGTTGCTGTTGACAGGTGAAATGCTTACTGTGTGTGTCTGAAGGCCTTGGCACTCGGGCACCAGTGTGAATGTCTGTTGGCCCCTTTGGCCAAGGATTGGATTTTCAAACACCCACACACTGATCTGTGGCCCCTCGGCACATAAGGCGTTTGCGAGGGACTCATCCGTCATGTGGCCGCTGATCAGTGCTCTTTATGAAGATGGATACCAGTCGATTTGCCATCTTTACACAGCTGCTTTCTTATTTTTACTCAACTTTTTCTCACATTCCTTACATCTGTATGTGTGAAAACATTTGAGCGCAGAGGGCCAGTCTTTTTTATCTGCCATCAAAAATAAGCAAGCAGGAGTAACATTTACTGAAACACTTCAATTCAATGATATTACAAAAATGCAAATTTTATACATTATGATGGAAAAAGAAAACCATTGCCAAGTCATTATACTAACTAAAAACATTAAAAGTCAATAGTCCATTCAAAATATGTTTTATGTATTGTCACTCAGCATAGTTTTATCTGGGGTTTATTACTCAAAGAGGACTATTGTCATCTTCTTCCCCAGAAAAGAACACACATATATGGACATGGACACACATTCACAGGCATGTCTTCCCTGTGGCCTGTTGTGTGAGAATTTATGTTCTGTAGAAGATAAAATGGGCACCTCGGGATAGAAACAGCTTCACTTAATTTCTCCCTGTGTGATCTGAAGTGTGTGTAGGAGTGTGTAGGTGTGGACGAAATCCATCAGCTGAAAATCAGCTCAGTATTTCTCTCCCCTTTTATTTTTTACTGTCTAATCCTCCCCATCTACCCTCGCTTTATTTCCTCGTTCTGTTTTTTTCATTGCAGCCTTCTTCCCACTTCATCATCTTGTCATCCCTGTCTCCCTCTGACTTATTCTCCTGTTCTTCTCTCCTCTTTCAAACTACTCACCTCATCTTCTCTCCATGCCCCCCACATGTCATCCTCCTTTACTCTAGTTATCTTATTTGTAATCCTCCTATCTGCCCCTGAATCCTCTCAAACGTAATGCGGCCACTTCCTGATAATCCAGTCCTCCCTATCTGTCGATTTTCCCCAGTTGTCACATCCTTTCTTACTTACTTGTTTCTTTCTTTTGATAAGGTAACAATCTGCAGCATACATATCAGTTGTCTTTTTTTTATCCTCCTTATCACCCATTTCTCTTCCGCCACTTGAGTAGTGTTAATTTCGTCAGCTATTTTTTTTATTTAGTTTTAGTCTTAGTCCTGTGTTAAATTTCCTTTTTAGTTTTAGTCATATTTAGTCACCTTCATCCTGTTTTTATTTAGTCAAGTTTTAGTCGACTAAAAGTCTGAGCATTTTAGTCTTATTTTAGTCAAAGAAAACTAATTATTTTAGTCTACTTTTTGTCAGTCTGTACACTACTCGTCACTCACTCGCGCTGACGGACAGACGGGGGGGTATTCGGTTAACGCGACCACTGCTCCCAAGCCCTGTTGTTGCCATTTTATTTTCTGTTAAATAAGGTTAGTTAGACCATGAGTTAGACCCGAGTCTTCCTGACAGTTCACAGTGTGCCGCTGGCCCGGTGTAATTCAAATGTACCGCCGCTCGCAGCACAGACACACAGCTGCTGCCCAGCCGCAGCACCGGAAATGGAACTGCTGGGAGTAAAACTGACTATCAGAGATGTAACGTTATCTTTGATAATATTTCGTCTCCTCATTTTTCGTCAACGAAAGTAAAGAGAGATTTTGGCATCGTTTTTATTTAGTAAACTACATTTTCGTCTCGTCACTTTTCGTCAACGATATTGCATGTTGATTTCGTTACAGTTATTGTTTACTGCCGTTGGTGCCGTCTCGTCATCGTCTCGTTTTAGTCATGGAAAAAAAGGTCGTTGACGAACATGGGTGGGTGTGGATACAATCTGGATTTTGACCAAGTAAACCACTGCTAGTGTCCCATGTGAAACCAGAAGTCCACTTTATAATATGCTTTTAAGTGTTTCCATCAGTACAATGTAAAGTAGTAAAGCATGAAGTAATGAACAAGCTGCATGGATGCTAGTTACTGTGTATTGATATCGTTATTATGAATGCAGATATCCGGCGATAACATTCGAGAGATATGTAATCTTGTTATGTACATTTCCCAAAATTAGTTGACATTACTGATATAACACATTTCTCCTCTACCTATAGGTAGTAACATCAGTTAGTAACAATTATTGCAGCTTTAAGATAAATATCCATCCTATTTACTTAAATTGATATTTAATACTTTTTAAATTGAAAACACTTTGTTTATCAGAAAACATTAATTCACATGATTTTTAACTGAGAGCTTGCTGCTCTTTCATCGGATTTACTTCTACTAACACATGACGGGTAAAACACACCCTTCAATCTTCAGTGCATCATGGGTACGTTTATATCAGCATGGCTTTTGGCTTTATCCAATTACAATCCAATCATCCAGGGTGCAGGTTAATATGTGGTCTATCATCTCTGTGCTCATCACTGTCTCCTCATCTCCCACAACCCCTCCTCCCTTCTCATCTCCCCGTGTGTCAAGCTTCAGTGACAAATGATACAAATCTTGCCGATAAAGCGCACCAAATGGAGGCAGCTAGGTTTCAACAGCTGACTTTGATGTGAGGGAGAGTTAGATATAATAAGGTGTGCTTCACACTTTAGGTCTGAGGTGCCCTATACAATATAACATATCTTAGTAAAGCACCTACAAGTCCCCAAACTGTATGAATAAAAGGAGATGGCATAAGAGTGTTTTAAGTTAATATGTTGAATTTGTTACACTAAACCAGGGGTCGGCAGTCGGCTCTCGAGCCGCATGCGGCTCTTTAAGCCCTCTACTCTGGCTCCCTTGAGCTTAGACAAAAATAAGAAGGAAATAAAATAAAAATATTTGTAGGACTATTTATATTTTGTTGCACGGTTGAAAATGTTTCGTATCTTGTATTTTTAGGTGATGCTGTGACACATAAAAATAAACGGTTTAATTAGGTCAACTAAAATATGCGTCATATCTGCTACGGTCCCGCACCAGCGCCTTTTCTTGCAGGCGAATAACCTGACCCCCGGCTCGATGAGCGAACTATGGATAAATCAAAGAAAAGAAAAGTATCGGAGGAACACAGAGGATTTAATTCTGCGTGGTTAGAGTTATATGCTTTCACAGCAAACGATGCTGGCTTACCGGTATATTTGATATGTGGAGAGAAGTTGTCAAAGGTGCTGCAGCCTTTACGTATAGGAGGAAAACACGGAAGAGGAAGACAGCTGACGATCTTCAGTCATAATTCAATCAGGTAACTCTTTTTAGGTTTTATTTATTTCAAAGTGGGCCCATTTGAATTCATTTTCTTCAAATATGCAGAAGACTCCCCAAGTGCTGTGTTGATTTATTTAACGTAGGCCTGTGTATTTTTTTTAATTCTCTTTATAAGAGCTATTTGTTTATTATTAGAGGTAAACAGTTTTCTATAATGTAATAAATAATAAATGCAAAAAAACTGTAGTTTTTGTCTATGATGTAACAATATATACAACTTTATAAGCTATCAAGCTATCAAATATGTTTTGCAGCTCCAGACAAAAATAATTGGTGGAAAAGGGGGCAAAATGGCTCTTTTGGTCAAAAAGGTTGCAGACCCCTGCACTAAACACTAAATCATCTTTAAT